CAGCCCAAAGGTCCTTCTCACACGGCGTGTTGTGTTTGAGACCTGAGTCCTGGCTCACACTAATCTACGTTCATCTCTGGCTCCATCTCAGGGTTTGCACCACGAGCATATTAAAATGTTTCTAGAGCCCAATTCTTCAGCATTTGCCTTTGACAGTTTATCTCAGGGGACAGATAATCTCATTTGCATCTGTTACGACAAATCAAAACACCAGCAAATTAAATGGATCTGAAGGCTAAGATTAAAGACTTAGAATTAAAACACCTGTGAAGTGCCGGTAGTGCAAATAGTTGTAAAAATAATTTTTTCTGGGGGATGGAAAAGCCCTACACAGATCCTGCTCCAGACTGGTACAGCACAGGACTTCAGCGGGACTGGCTGGAGGAAGCCGAGGGCACGGCCGGTTCCCAGGCTCGGGTCGCAGGGATGTGCCCTGGCTCTGCCGACGCTGCTTGGCCAGCTTCTTCTCCATCAGCCACCTGAAGCATAACATGGGGCATTATCAGAGCCTGCCTGGGTTTCTGCGTTCCCTGTGCTTGGATCGAAAAGCCTGAGTGGCCTTGCAGCAGATGGTGCAGCAAATATTGTAGAACTCCCACACGAGTTTTGCAGGATCAGGCATCGAACAAGCAGATGGGAAGCGGATTGATGGGAAATTCATTTTAGAAATTTCATTTTAGATGTTCCCCATTCCTAGAATATGAGCTTCAAAGCCCACTGTACGTATTACTTCTTTCATAATTTCATGTTACTATGTTAGCCTCTTGGCTGGATTGCTGGCACCCCGGGGTGCAGCCAGGGACTGTGGAGGAGCAGGATGCTTCTTCAGGTGCTGCTTCTGACTGGGCACCATTACCTGAGTACCAGCTGCCCTCTAGAGCAAAGTATTAAATGTTTTAGCAAAGCACAGCCAGCAGATAGCAGCACTGTTATGTATAATATACCCTAGACTATTTGCTGTGGTTTCAAAAGTCATGCAGAAACCTTGGTGCATCTAAGTCTGAGGCCATGACCCCCCCCCATTTCTGTGCAGCGGGCGGTGGGTATGCCGGGCACTGAGCTCCCGCTCAGCTGGGCTGCAGAGGTAAACACTTACCTCTTATAATTAAAGAGAAGTAGTATTTCTGTAGCCTCTAAGCTAAACTGCATCAAGCAAAATTTTACAGGGGGTGAAAATTCCACAGCACGACAAGGCATGCAAGGCATCTACCCTTAAACTGAAATTTTAGCACAACGCTCAAATAAATCAGTCCCAGCAGATCTGGAGCACAGAGAGCGCATCTTTTTCTTGAGGGGCTCCAAGGCACAGCACAAGGCAAAACGCTGGTGGTGTTGAAGGGCCACGAGCAGGAATTGGGCGTCTTGCTGCTTGTGCAAGACTGATCCTGCTGCTGAGGGATCTTGGGCATCGGAGCCGCTCTTCCCAGCACTAAATCAATGAAAAAGAAATTAACAATGAGCAAACAGAGAAAGGAGCTACTTTTCTCTGACCTGGGACATGCTGTTTTGCTGTGAAGGGCTTGTGATATTGCAGGGCGGGAGTTTTCTCAGGTGGAAGGGTTGTGCTGGTTTTATTATGAAAAGGATGGAAGATCCACTGAGGGACATAGTTAATAAGACTTAATTAAAATTTGTTTGTTCTGATAAATTTGATTGGTTTCAGCAATGTGCAGAGCAAGCCGCCTTCAACTCACAGTAGCATTTTATGGCTGTTCAGACAGGAAGGTATTCCTTCATTTCTGAAAAAGTCTTTGATTTCAACCTGCAGAAGGATTCGGGGGCTGCCTGGATGGGTGTCAGAGCTCCTGCTTCTGTTTCAGGCTGGGACATGGTCATGTCATTTAATGGCTGTGTCACATTTACATTTATATTTAACACCTTGTATATGTATTTGCCACTGTTCTTCCCCAGAGGATGCTTTCATGCTAATTATTTTCATCAGGGCATTTCACGCTGCTGTAAGGGTCCTCACCAGCTAAACAGACTATATACGCACTGTATACGAGCAGGACATGAGATCATGAACCAGGCAAGAGCCCTTGCAGGAACCTTGAACCATGTTTATAGGCAAGCAGGTCGCTGTTGGAAGCTGAGATGGATTTAGCCCCCCAAAAGCCTCCAAAAGTGGCCCAAAAGCAGCTGCGAGCCCGCAGGCAGCACAGGATGGCGAGAGGAGGAGGCTGCCTGGCAGACACTGGGGCCGGCAAGGAAGGAATGCAAGGCGTTTGATAAGGAAGGAATAATAAAATAACCTTTTTGGCTGGGCCAGAGCTGAGCCTGCCGGTGTTTACACACAGGCAAAAAACTTCCTGAGCTGGAAGCGCAGCCTTTTCCGCTGGCTCGGCACCGTCCCTGCTCAGCCACTGCCGCTCTTGGCATTTCCCTCCATCAGGATGTTTTAGAGAAAGCTTTTGTTTTGCCAAAGCAGTTGACTGTAACTTTATTGTCTCTGCTTGGCTGTAGGACATACCCTGAGCTGTGAAAAATGCACCTGATGTTTGATTAGATCTCCTACTTTTGACACAGCGAGTAGTGCTGATTAGATAAACAACTGCCAAAAAAAAAAAAAGCCAACCCCAGCTCCCTGGCCTACCCGGCAGTGCAAATCAAGCCTCTGGGAGAGCTTCCTCTGCGCTCTCCAGCAGCCAGAGCTCTTGGGAGAGAAAGTAATTTCATTTTCCTGCATCTGCTCCCCTTGCAGCCAGGCTTTTGGAGGTCAGATTTACCCCAACTACAACCAAACTGGCAGCGGTGGTCTCTTGCCGTACTCAGCACCCCTCAAGAAGTACCGGCTGTGCCTCTCTCCAGGAAAAAAGCACTAGGAAGGGTCGGGCATCCCAGGGAGGAGGGGGCCAGGTCAGTAAAGATCCCCAGCCCCAAACCTGCTGCTTTCAGGAGAGCTCAAGCATCTCCACAAGAACAGGCACTTAAGGGCTGCCGTGCGTTGCCCTGCAAATTCTGTTCCTGCAGGAACCGTTGCTGGTTATTGCGCAGTGCACAGCGTGAGGAAGCCTTCATCTTCGTCTTCATCTTCATGCACACGTGCACACACCACCAGCCCCCCGCCGTCGGGTCAGACCCCAGCCCTGCGCACTCCATGAGACTGGAGTCTCATTTATTTATGCAGGAATTAGCTGGGCATCTTAAACATCAGAAAATCAAACAAACGAGGTTTAATAGTGTGCTGTACGTCACTTGTCTTGCAAATGTGTTTGTTGAAAGACAGGGAAAATGTGCTCAGAACAAGCCACAGCCTTTAGTCATAGCATTTCTGCTGGGAAACAACCTCTCTGCGAGGCGTTGTCCTCACATCGCGCTGGCACATGGCGCAGCCAGAGCCACGCGTCCCGGTGGGATAAACACACTGTTGTTCCAAGGACACTACAGAGAAGTTGATTTTTAATACTCAATTTTTTTTTTCAACTGGGATTATTTACAATGAGATTTGGGAGAAGCAGTTCACACCAAAACAAACAAAACCTGAAATACTTTAAACCATGTCTAAATGACTCTTGCACCCATGAAAACAGCCCCAGATCATGACGGGCGTTGCTGTCATTCCTTTAAGCATTGTACCAAAAAAAAAAGCCTTCCCCTCAGGTGTTCAGCACCAAGAAAAGGTTGCAATAAATTCACTAGTGAGAGGGTAGATTAGCTTCAAGGGCCATTTTTGTCCTTATTTCGGATGTGGAGGTCACTGCTGGTGCCTGCAGAGACTGTGGTATGAGTAACATCTGCTGAACTGCAGCTTCTTGTGGTCTTGCACCATCAACACCGGGCTTGCATGACAACAGCTTTGGCTCCCTAAAATTGAGCTGCACATGCTGGGGACTGAGCACAACCCCCCCCGGTCCCTGGCTCTGACCAAGCTGCACGTAGCTCGTCCTCAGCAATGCAGCTTGCAGCACCGCTTGCCTCGGGGGCAGGATGAGTGCAGAGCTAGGCAAGACCTGCTCCTGCTGTTGGGATTTTGGTCTTGGCCTTCACTTAACCAAAGCGAAAATACTTCTTTTTGTTCATGTACCCACTGCTGATGCAGAGGAAGAAACACCCGTAGCAGAGCCAGGTTTCTGTCCAGCACTTGTCCCACTGGGAGCCCTTTGGCATCTTTTATTCCCAAAGTCCTAACCCAGGCACTAGCCCCCGCGTGTCGGGAGGGAGGGTGGTGGGACGGCCAGCCCCAGGCGTCTGCAGAGCCATCGACAGCCGTATCAAGTGTTCTCCATCTCACTCTGGTGACTGATTGATGGCTCTGCCTCGTCAAACACCATCTCCAGTCCCTGACATGAAGAGACTGGGGAAGATTTTTTTACTCTAAAGCAACTACCTGCATACTGGTAGGGTTGAAAAAGAAACAAGTTTGAGGTCTATTCACATTTCAGCCTTCAGTTCCATGTGGAAAGTTTTACACAGCTTCAGCAAATTCTGCTGGAGTAGGAAATACTAAAGAAGACCTAAAGCACAAGAAGGGGGATTAAATACCTGTTGTTCTTAAAAGAGGAAGAAATCCTGCACTTAAGCATGAAGATGGGATAAAAAACAACTCTGTTAACCAAAATTATCTGAAACCTGAGAGGGTTTTGTCACTGAAATCCCAACTTAACTATTTTAATCAGCCTAACACACTGCCACCAAAAATTTGGCCTGTTTGGAGTCTGGCTCAAGGCTTCTGTAGCTTCAGTCTGCCGTTGCTTAAAAGCTGTTCAGGGCTAAGGGCACTTGCATTTCTCATTATGTTCTTCTAACAACAAAAGCAGAGAACAGCTGCGAAAAAGTGTCTTGCGTGGTCAATGGGAGAAGTAGGAGGAGGCAGAGAAGCAGGACTTTGGCAGCTCTGGCGCTTAATGTGCTTTAGGCTGATTTTGAAGTTCTTCACAGAAATAATAATAACAACAAAAAAAAGGTCTGCAATTCCCTAACTGTCCATAGAAAACTCTCGCCCTCCCTTGTCTCTCCACTCCCCTCTTAGTTCGCGCTAAGGGTGCATTTCTCTGCCCGGTTCACATTTCGGTGTCGGCGGGGCTGTGCTGCTTGGCTGAGTGGCCGTTTTTGGAGGACGCTTGGCCAGTCCCGTTCTCCTGAGTCCCACCGTTGAGGTTTGGCTTCTCCTGCAGCTCACGTTGCTCTTGGGGGGACATCATCAACATCGTGTTTCCCTGGCTACCGTTTTCTGTGTAATATGGGTCTTCAGCCTAAACAGGTACATAAATAACAAAGGCAGAGTTAGGGAAGGGAAAGGGCTGACAGCAACCGGCTTTGATTGCAGGCAGCGCCTTGGCGGGCTGCCTGCGCTTCCTGGACAGGAGGTACAAACAACTGCAGGCATGGGAACCTGCTCTCGCTGATGAGAAGGGGAACAGGGGGCCTGAACCAAGCCATGGCAAGACGAAGCAAGAAAACCAGCCAGGAACGGCATTTTTTTTTTTCCCCTGGACCTGAAAAGAGAAGTCGTCAGGTTTTGTGGTTTTTCTCATAACCAGGTTTTGGAGCTGACCCTGCCTCGGGTTTGCAAAGCTACCCCGTGACAGTCCACCTCTGCTTTCCACTTTGGCCCGGTAACAAGCACCATTGAATGAAAGGTATGGAAATTGCCTCTTTCTTTCCCTGTCCTTCTTTCTTTCAGCCTGTAAATAGATATACAGCTCGCAGCCAGGTAGCAGAAATGCAGGACTGCACTCCGGCAAATGCAAAGCCATGCCGTGTGGCTTGTTACTGCTATTGCTATAAGGAGCAGATGCCTCTGGAGGACCCAGAGCAATAGCAGAGCTGCCTCCACCTCCCGCCACGATAACCCCACCGATGTGTCGGACCATGGCAGGTCTGACAGCAATGCAACGGGTGCTGGTGGTCCTGGGCTGCGGGTGGAGATCACCAGCCGGTAGCAGATATGAGACCAGGGAGGCAGGCGCCAGCCCCGCTCCTTGTTTGCCCAGTGGCATCCAGCAGCACAGCAGGCTGCTGAGCTTCCCGCCTGCCCCATCGTTTCATTAATTCCTCATCTCTTCCCCAGCCAGGTTAAACACAGCACCTGGGCACCGCTTGGCCCCTTTGCTGACACCCTTGTCTGCACTGGACACATCTCACCTAGAAACTGGATTGACACTGCCATGCATTTACATGGGCAGCTCCCAGCCACGCATTTACATTGCCTTTCACTCGCTGCCAGGAGACGGTACCCGGAGGCAGCAGGCTCGACAGCTCCAGCTGCAATGTCCCTGCCTCCGACACATGTACCTGACTTCCCATCTGCATGTTTTGAGAGCATCCTTTCTGGCAGTGAAATCATCTAATGGCTTCCCAGGACACAACTGTTCACGTGCCCACGAGCAGCGACAGGGGAAAGCATGGCCAGTCCTCACTTTACAGAGGGCTCACGTCCCTGAAAGTCACTGGTAGGGAAGAGTCCTCAGTGGTCAGCCTGCCTGGAAAGGGGAAAATGGAAATAGGAAATTTCTTTCTCTTTATTTCTTGATATATTTTATTACCATCACTTGTCAAGTGAGGGGAGAAATAGCCTTTATTACAGCATCGGTACAAGACAGACATATAACTCAAATGCAGTGAATGGAAAGTTAAAGTGTGTCACTTTTAATGACAAATTCATAAGGTTTCGGGGTCTCTGGAGGGGTCTTGCTGGATGAGTTCTTACTGCTGAGCAAAAATAAGTGTTAGACCTAGAAGCACGAGCGAGAAAGGGGCGGTTTTCCCACAGGAGCAATCAGCTAAGAGTTAATTTTAGAAGGCAAGAGAGGTTTCCCTTCACCCTGTACCATCTGGCCTCCCTCGCTCCTGCCCTTCGCCTTGCCCGAGCCATCCCATCGACCTGGGGACACACACACACAGGCTGAGGGTACTGAGCCCCAGGGTGCGGAGCAGCCCCCTCCTCTCCCACCTGGGCAACCCCCCAGCTCCTCTCTACCTGCTCTTCTGCCATCTATAAGCACTAACCAGCCTCTCTCCCGCGGGGCTCCAGCTCCGCCGCTTCATCAGGAAATATCCAGCCAAGCCCAGGAACGCCAGCATGAGTCCAGATGTGACCAAGGCGATCAGGGTCTTCTGAGAAAAGTCCTGGTGGTTCCTCACTCTCCCCCGTTTAAGGGATTTTATTCCAAACTGGAAAAAACACCAAAGAGAGTCCGACAAACAGGAAACATGTGCATCTGCTGAACAGGCACCAGGCTTAAAACAATGCTGCTCTTCACCTCCTTGTTAGACTTCGCGTAAACAAAGCTGGGCTTTGCTAGCCCAGCTCCTGAGCTTTGCACTCGCCCTGTGAGCTCTCGCTGTCTCATTTCCATCCTAGCGTCTTCTGTGGCACAGGGCAATTTTCTCCCCCGGAGCGGAGCGCTCAGGCCCTGAGATTTAGAGCGTGCATCTGCACGGCTGAAATATCTCTGTGCACTGCTGTTGCAGCTCTGTTGGCTGCCATTTATATAGGCACCTGGAGCTCAGCTTTATAAGCTGACGGCAGCCTCACTGGAGTGTTGAGAGGAGGAATTAATTAATGTCAGCGTGGTACTTTGAAGAAGCAGAGTGCCAATTACATCCTAAGAGTTATTGTTGGGATCTAGGCCTTTTTTAAGAAAATACTACAGAATTTTACAGTAACTTTTCCAAGAATTTCTGCCTTCAGTGGTTGTATTAGTTCTCTTACGGTGAACCGCTGCCTCGCTGCATGTCTGGTGGTTGGCTCCAACCACCTCATGTGCCAAGGCTCAGCAAGCACCTCCGAGATGGAGGCAGGGTCAGGTCTCAGCCACCTGCCCCAGCCTCAACCGACCGTCTAAAAATCTCCTTTCTCCAGCCACTCGGGCCACCCATTTTTCCCAGCTGAATTTGCTTAAGGAATTTACCTTTTCCCAGTGAGACTCCTGTAGTATATCTGTAGCAGGATCTGCAAGGTTTAAAACAGAAGAGGCACATTACAAAGAGGGTCACGTTGCAGCTAATGTCAGCATTGAAGAGCCTGGCCGTTGGTGAACACGGAGGAGCCGTGAGCCCCTTTGCTGCTCTGGAGGCAATGTCCTGGCTCCGTGGATCGAGCAAGACCCCAGAGAAAAGAGCAGTAGTTGCAGAGAGAAGTCTCCTCCTGGGTTGTAACCGAGGATTTGTGTCCCACAGCCTCTCTCCACAAATAGTCCCCTCTCCCATTGCCCACATCAAGGTCATTATCCAGCGGTATCAATGACAGCCAAAAAGGAATGAGCTCAACTGACCTGTCTCACCGACGAGGATGAGGAGCATGCAGTCGTGGTCCACCTCAGATTTAGCAAGTTTAATTTGGCAGGGGGGGGAAATGGGGCGGATTTTTTCTTCACATATTGCACTCCACAAGTCCGATCCCTTCATCTCTAAAAAATGTTTCTGCAAAATTTTCAAAAAAACAGCCATTGAACAAACCGAACCAGCTAATTGTCCATCAGCTCAGCTATGCTGATGATACTACTGGTAGCATAGTGCATTCACCCTTTGTGTGCTGGTGGCTTATCTGTGCTGTGCAAAGCTGAGCAGAAGCAACAAGAAGTGACAAACAGCGCTGGGCTGGGTGTCAGCCCTTCACCTCCCACTTCACCACTGCTTTGGGCCCCAATACCAACACCTAGAAAAAGGAGATGCTTAGTTCTTGTTTCTTAACTTAATGAGAATAAATTAAATGAAGATATTATTAGCAACTCTTGCAAATGGCATTTAAACAAAGCTAAATTTAGGATCTGAACTGCATTGCAAGTCTCTCCAATTTTTGGACTGAAACAGCTGCCTGAAGAGCCCTATTGTTTCGGAGTCCCAGGCAGAGGCTGGGAAAGGAGGGAAATAACAAAGAAGCATTGAGCCTTCCTGTTTAGGAAATGTCTTCAATGTTTTTGCTAGGTTGCTGATCAAAGGCTAGGCAAAAAAATACAAATTTCTCACATTTTAGAGCTGAACCGACTCTCGGGTGGAAGAGGAAGAGGAGTGAGGAGCTGCAGCCTTTCCCTTCTGCGGGCCAATTTCTGTATCAGACAGGATAGGCTTTCTCCTCAGGTCTATTTTCAGCCACAGTCAGGCTTGGAGACAGAGCCCACAGTTGCTAAAAGACGTTATCAGCTTCCCGAACATCCTCCCAGCTGGGAACATCATCTGAGCTGTGGCCGTGCCCACCCCCTCGAGACAGAGACCGGCTCCAGCTGAATCCCCCGTCCTGCCCCTGCCCTCCACTCGCTCCCCGGGACGTGCCCACCGACGTGGGGCTGCGAAAGAGGCAAAAACCCTCCTGTCCTGCAGCGCTGCGCGGAGCTGGGCAGCTCAGTGCCTTCCTCTCTTTGCCTTAGAATTGCCTCTGTATTGCACTCGGGTCGCCACATCCTCTTAGCATAAAAAAATGCAGAAACTTATCCATGAGAGAATAACAAACAAATCATTTTCAGCTGTTTCTGTAGAGCTTGGCTTGGGGTGAGAAAGGCCAAGATGGAACAAGAGACCCAAGTGTGTATTTTCCTTTCTCTGCTGTGGAAAGAACTCATCGGAGTGTCAGAATTTCCCTTTGCAATTAGCAGCGCTGGGTGCCAGCTTATTGCTCATTTGCTTTGGGAAAGGCCAGCAGGAAAGCGAGACACGGCCCAGTCCCTCCTATCTGCTCTCCTCGCAGACGCTCTTATCTGGTTCCCAGGTTCAGCAGCTGCTGAGCCTGAGCTGGTTTTTCCCTCTCGATGATGCTGAGGTGGAGGCACGGGAGAGGTCTGCTGTGGGCTGAGAGCTCCCAGAAAACCACGGTTGGAAGTGGGGCGGTTTGACTCGTTTCACATAGAGGAAGGGCTAGGAGTATGTGCAATTAGATACAACTCTCCAGGATGTTCTGTATGTTATATATGCATCTATTTCTGTATGGGCAGGTATGTAATATATGCATAATGTGTATAAACGCTGGGCCCAGGAGGTGCCGGTCCCCACTAGATGGCATCTGGGAACAGAATCGCTCCCTCGCGGAGGAGTTTCCATGTGAATTCTCACTAAAGTGCAGTCCTTGTAAACAGGAGTGAGTCTAAACGCCATTTAATGGCCAATTTGCAGAGAAAAGCCAAGTAAGAATTCACTCATCCAAAGCGGTGGCAGTATAGCTGACCAGCAGAAGTAAAATTAATCGTTGTCATCTTACACCCAGGGCATTGCCAAGTCTGCTGTCCCACAAGGTCCAGCACCATCTGCTCCCTGTCGCAGGTTGTACCTCCAGTGTGAAAGGTTTCTTGCCTCCCACCCACAATAGTGTCTCAGCCGGACCCTCTTCTGCTTTTATAAATGCTTCATTTTTGGTGCACAAGGCCAAGGGTGGTTACAGAGAGCCTGGGATTCCCTTAGGAGTTGGTGCAGATGGGGACACTGAGCTGCACCCATGCTCCTTCAGATGCCTTGATTTCTTTCCTAGGGCAGCTGGCAAGGCAAAAAAAGGCGCTCGCATTTCCAACAGGGAAGAGGAAGAGCAAAGACAATTTCCCGTTAAACATGGTGGGAGATACTTTAGAAATTAACTGACCCCAGCTCTTAATTATGAAAAGGGTGGTTTTATGAAACCAGGAGGTTGCATTTCCCCTGCGACTGCTGTAATCACCCCTTTGGGATCCTCCTGGGACTGCTGTGATCATCCCCACCTCTGCCAGTTTGGCACAGCTCAGATGCTCTGCCCTAGGGATAACGGTGTGAGCTCCCCACTCTAAACCAACCCCCCAGCTATGGTGGGTGACCCCATTGCCGCAAGCCTGAGAGCGCTGCAGAACCTGCCCTTGGCTGTTTGCTTGCAGCCCCCCTCCTTCTGCATGTCCCCCCCTTGGAGACATGCGGCCACCCAGGGCTGCGACTCACGCAAGTGCTGGACTCGTTGAGCTGCAAGCAGATGGCTCCGGTGTCACTCACTTCTTTGACGTTGTGGCAGGTGATGTTCTGGAAGGGAAAAAACACAGCGATGGTTTCAGTGAACTGTCAGGGGGTTGTGAGACAAGTCCAGCCTCCTCATGGTCCCACAGCCCGCCGTGCCCAGCCAAATCCTCACCTTCGGGCTACCCCTGACTGTGGGCAGCGGCGTGGTGCTGGCCGGGATGGAAGGATGCCCCGAGGTGACAGGAGAGCTTGTCATAGCTGGCGTGGGTCCTGGGATTTCTTCCATTGTCCTGGGTTGTGTGGCTGGGTTCTCGGTTGTGGGGACCCCTCGGCTCGTGTGGTTGGGGTCCAAGGGGGTGCCCAGCATCTGCGTGGGGTCTCGGCTGAGCTGCGGGCTCGTCCGCTCGCTGCTGAGCCCCGGGAAGGTGGTCCTGGCAGCCGGGGATGTGGCTGCAGCTTCAGTTTTGAAGAAATGCAATGAAAAGGATACATGAGAAAGCTTAAGTCCTCTAAAATCAATGCGTGGCATTGCGATGACTGAAGTACAATATTGATTTGTCATAGCCAGCGGTACCAGAACGTGTTATTGGCTGTATAAGAAATGCCCATTAGGCTTGCTTCAGTTACCTAATTGTTACATGCGCTTCATAATCTGTTTACAATGGACTAATTTCCTGGGCATACACTGCACCACAGCAAGGATGCCATTGCCTGACCTCCCCTCCATCACCCTGCTCTCTCCCTTGACCCAGAGTCTTCAAAAAGATGTACAGATTTCAAACGGCATAAGAGAAAGGCACCGTACATCTGTGCAAGGGTCCCTGCTTCAGAGCTCTTCGGAGCCTCAGCCTCTTAGCAGAAAGGCTGGCAGACCTCTTATGGGTGCCTTTTGCTGGGCAAAGAATAGGTATGCTGAGATAAAAGATTAATGAGCATTTTGTCCCATCATCACTTGGCTGTTTTGAAAAGGATGGGTCTAAGCTGCCCGTCCTGAAGACAGCAGTGTTAGGTTGCCCCAGGTGGCATTTTTTGGCCAGGATTAAAGCTTTTGACCATACTATCAGGCTCTTTTCTGAGAGCACCACCCATGCACCAACGATGCAGTTCCTTAGGGCAAGCCTGTGCACTTAATAAATCTGATTATTCATGCAAATGCTACCAGGAATCACGGGGGGGGGGGAGCGATTACCGGACATCTCTGGCGTCGGCTTGGCACTGCTGGGGGCTCCGTGGGCTCCGGTGGCTGCCGTGCTGCTGATGCCTTTCGTTTCTGTGGTCACGGCTGTTCGTGGGGTGGGGGATGTTGGGGTCCCAGAAGCATTGCCTGGTGGCAGAGGAAGGTGTTAGGGGCTGCCGTCCCCCCACCCCAGCCCCGAGGGTCCCTGCAGGCAGGGCAGGGAAGGGTTAACTGCTTTCACAAATTCACTTTCTTCTTGCCCCCAAATAGCAGGCTGCCCTAGAGCTCAGATGGGAGAAGCTCAGAGGCTAAACGGTTCAGCTGGGCGAGTACCAAACTTTGGTGCAGCACTTGCAAAGGGTCCTGGAGTGGCTCGCTTCTGCCCTCATCCTGCCCGATCCTCGGGCTTGCCGAGGGATGCACAAAGCTCTGCACAAAGCTGGATTTCATAGTAGTTTGGGTTTATAATCCTTGGAGGAAAGACTCGGGCCTTGGAAGAGATCACTTATGTGCCTCAGGAAAAAATAAGCTGGATTTGCATTTGCAGGCACAATCTCAAAGTAAATAGAAACATTCCCATTGGCTTGGGATCAGCTCTGACTCATGAGCAAAAACAGCTTTGGAGGTAAAACTGAACGTTTGGAGAACGGTTTGCTGTTCTAACTTAAAGTTTATATATCGCTTCCTGGTATGTTACAAAGATGACACTTCCAGCTTTTCCTTCTGAAATGAACTATATCAGTCAATGCAAATGCATTTCTTCCCATTTCTTAACCTTTTCTATTCTTAAGATCTATTTCCACTTTTAACAAACAGCTTCAGTCTCTACTCCAGGGCTGTTGCTGTTTAGGATTCTTATCCAGACACTAAAGAGAAAATCATACAAAATACATTTTTTCTTTTGTATTTCTGCCCAGGGGACCCTGAGCTCCAAGAAAAGTTACTTCATCCTTCTAAACAACCCTTGGAGATGGAGCAGCATTGACAGGTCCTGAGCAGCCGCCTGGCGCCAGCATCAGGGCAGCATCCGCTGCCAGTTAAACATGCATTTATGTATTGTGCACCGTAGTATCGTGCACTTCAGTATTGTCCCGGCAGGAATTTTTCTATGATGTCGGGATGTCAGTACTTTGCTGGATCAGGTCCAGAGAACCTGGATGGTTTACGAAAAGCAAAGACTGAGATCACTGAAGTTTATTTTGGCAATGGCTGGCAGCAGGCAGAGCTCCTCGGCTGTTCCTGCAGCTGGTGGGTGGTTGTACCGGAGGGTGCTGAGGGGGGAGCGCACCCCAGCCTGGCCCCAGAGGGCCACCTGTGCTGGCACATCCCATCCCGTCCCGTCCCATCCCGTCCCGTCCCGTCCCGTCCCGGCTGCAGCTGCTCTGGGCGCGGGAGCACCGGGGGAGGCAGGGGCCCTGCCGAGGGCTCGGCGCAGGTGTCTGGAGCTGGGATTTAGGTTCTGGCACGGCTTTTATTTAAGGGAGAAGTTTCTTCTCTCCAAGACAATTCTGTTCCAACTGGTTAAATCACCAAGTTTTTCTGATGAATTTTAACAAATCAAAAGCAGGAGGCACGACTGCGTGCCCAGAATAATGAGTAGCACAAAGTTAAATCCACGCTTTGCATACAGCTTTGTATTTGCACGGACATTAGCAGGAAACTTTACATCACTAGAACAATGTAGTGCCTGGACTTGACCTCCCCAAGTGCCACAGCCACCCAAGCACCTTTGAACTATTCCAGATGTTTGTAAAGCACCAGAAGTATTTCTAATCAAAGTCTTTTCACCACTGAATGTCATAAATTGAAGCCTGGCTTATTGCTCAGTGTAATTTGTGAGAAGGCCTGTCACACAGTATTTCTTTTTCTTCCCTTTATTATAGTGCATGCAGGCGCGTTTATAGAAAACATGGCTAAGTTTTTTGAAACCTTAGGACTCATGAGATAAATAATGATCCAGATGTGAGATGGATAATCCACATGGTGCTCAGCTAAAGTGGGTCATTTATTGCACCATACATTTTTACTAGCTTTGCTAAACTCTGTCAATTTGTTAGTATTAAGGGTCTGAGAGTTTAAGCCAAGCCATTTATTAACCTTGGAGAAATCTTCACCTGGCAGCGCTAGCACACGGAGGAGCAAAAGCATTGCAGATATGTGAAAGAAAACTGTACTTCACAGTACCTCTTGTATTTACCTATCTAGCTTTTAAAAAGCAAACACCTCTGATTTTTAAAGATATTTTAATAATGGGGCTTAGGAAGTAGCTCAGCTCATGTCAAATAAAAAAAGCAACAATATAAATGTTAAAGTAGTGACTTGGTCCAACGCTCATCCCTGAGCACTACACCAGGACCACAGAAGGCAAAACTCTGCAGTGGCAAAGGCTCAGGAAGCAGGAGAAAAGTTTTGTAATTTGTGCCCTACTCTGCACCCGCAGCAAATTAAACCCGGGGGTTTCTCCCCCGCTCGTCCATCCCTGCATGGTGGAAGGTGCAACCCGCAGGGGATTCCCAGACAGTAATTGCACCTCCGATGCTGATACACTAATCTCTTGGTAAACCTTTTGCTAAGTGGGTGCCTACTTGAGTGCTCTGACACAGAAACCCTGTGCCAGGATAGTTTCTCAAACTCTTCTGTGTGTTTAACAAAGTTTTTTTCCAAGCTCAGCTAGCGCTCTAGAAGCTGCAAGGGCTGTGGCTGAGCTACGGCAAAGCGCTGCAAGTGAGCCGGCAGGCGTGGTACCACCGGCACTCACGGTACCGCCGGCACTCACGGTACCGCCGGCGCTCGTGGTCCCGGCGGCTGCGGAAGCAGCGGGTGAAGAACGGTGGGACACGGAGCCGTGGAGCTGCAGCCAGCCCAGGCTTCCCGCAGCAGCTCCTCCGAGGGCTCCAGCCTGCATTACTCACGCCTTTCCACTTTTACTGCTCTCAGCCATGTGGCAGGAATTCAAGCGGGTGGAGCCCTCTTCCCTCTGGAAATATCTGATAAAAATCCCTTCCCTCCCCCTTTTCCTCCTCCCAGACAGGATACGGGTGTGGGGCCGCAGTCACGCAGGGGGCAGGGGGCTGCGGGACCCCCCCGAGCCGCCCTCCCAAACCCCCGCTGCTGGACCAAGGGTTTCCTTGGGCTTGGGGCCTCTCCGGCAGCCGGGTGCTGCTTGGGAGCCCGGCACCTTCCCAGGGACCGAGATTGCTGCTGGCTTGAGCAGTTATGATGTGCAGCCCTTTAAAAGATGTTAAACCCAAGTGGCTGTGGGTTTTAAAGCTCCTTTTTCCTCCCCTGACCTTTAGAACTTTTCTAGGTCTTGCAAGAGGAAATGAAGGAAAGGAAGAATGCTTTAAAATGACAAGAGATATTTTTAAAAAATCAAGTTTGGCAGAGATGAATAAAAAAGATATAAAAAGGAAACAAAAAAGATTAAAAAAAAAAGAAAGTGTTTGTATTAGGTACAAATAGAACACATGCTTTCTTGTCTATGTACGTTCTGAGACAAGCACAGGACAGCTCTCCACGTGGTTTATCAATACCCAATTTTGTCACCATGAACCGCTCGCAGCATCGTGCTGCTGTGCCAGCGGAGGGTTCCCGAGCGGCCCCGGAGCACCGGCCCGCTCTGCAGACCAGGGACAGGCATAAACCTCTCCCACTCTCATTGCAACTCAGCGGTTCCCCAAAGGATCAGGCAAAGCCCAGAACTGAACACTGCATATGGGATTCGCTCCCCGCGAGGCTGGACGAGGCTGCTCGTTGCTCTGGGGTCAGGCTGCGGTTTGCAGCTACTTGGTACCCGGCCTCCATCCTCCCCACACCGCATCCACATGTGGCATTTGTAGAAGACCTGCGCCTGGCCCAGCATGGCATGGGGCTTTTTTTTTCCCCTGTAAATCATGTGGCTTTAGCTGAAGGGTGTCCTGGGGGGCACGTGGAGGCCGGTCATCCCACCCTTGGCAGCGCTGCCAGGAGCCAACGTGAGCACGACCCCCTCCCCGAATTGGGATTTCCATCGGGAGCTGCACAACTAAAACGTTTGCTTAATTTACTCGGCCTCCCCAAAGAGATGAAGAGCACGCAGAGCCCCAAGGGTGAGCTCCCTAGTTTTTCTCCCCTCTGCCCAGCAGCTCCATTGAACAGAAATAATCCCCCTCTACCTTCCAGCAAGAGCTGATAAAGCACTGTAATATCCCGCAGAAACGTGGAGCAGTGGCTGTGCCGGCAAAAGGAATGACATTTTGCAGCATTAAACCCCCTGTCGCCCGGTAGCTTTGTCTTTACAAAGGCAAAGCTTTTTATCACTTTTGTATCATTTTTGCTTTGTACTACAAGGAACTCGGGTTTCGCATTTCAGATAAACACTTTTGTCTTACACCCTCGCTCGCCGCTCACTTCAGCCCAACCAGACAGTCCTGAATTTTATTTCTCTCAGATAAAATTGTTTTTTTTTCCTTCCTGTTAAATTAACATAGACTGGAGGGTCAGGCACAACGGCTCGTGTGAGCAATATGCCTTGGCAGCAAAGGGAAAATGAAAGGAGCACCATGAAACAGAAGAACAAAATACAGCAAATTCTTTCAATAGATCTAGTTGCTCACATTCATGTAAGTAAGGAAAAATTACATTTGAGGAGACACCCGCAGGTTCCTGGCTCCTGTCCCAGCATACTATGCAGCACACAGAATGCTGCTTCACTGTTTTTTAGTCCCTTTTTGTTACTTCATGGTTGTTGGGTTTGGGACAAAAATGATAATATTTCCCTAAACTACAACCCTTTAAAAAGTACTACCTAGAGAAAATCTCTGTATTATTATTCACTTTCTCATGTGGTGAATATTTGAAGAGCTGGAATAGGAGATTTTAATATTTATGGAGATTCATTTGATTTTCGGAAAATGTTTAGTTCCTACCACAAAACAAAAGTAAGGCTAATTTACACCAATGCAGACTGAGAAATGACTTGAACTGTGGCTGCACTCTACAGCTTTGCATGCTGCAATGCATCCCCTTGTGTTATCTGTAATATTATAGGGAGCTCTCATATCCTGATTCCCTTCCTTTTCAAACCAGCAGCATTTTCTGTTTGCAGCACATCGCTGCGAATATGTTGGCCAAGGCGCCTGATCAGTGCTGTTCTGTAAAATGTTCTTTACGTGAAATTGCAATCTCCACTAAACGTTCATTACGATGCATCCCCCCAAGCTGCTCTTTCAGAAGTTATAAAGAAGTTGCCCCATGCACTAGTCTCACGCTGCTTTATTGCTCGGTGCTTGTAACCCTGGTATTTGCTGCAGTCAATACTCACCAGACAACTCCACAACACAGAGCGCAATCCAGAAAAGCTGCCTCCACTTCATTATTTTTAAACTTCCCAAGCACAGCATTCCTGCTCGCAGCTCCCACTAAAACTGGATCTGGCTGTGACAGCTCTTGGGTTTTCAGTCCTGCAGCAGCTCTGAGCTCATGTAGTTTGGTTTTAGTTCAAGCCTTTGAGATCACTCGGTTGTGGGGTGGGTTTCTCTTCAGGGGTTGTGCTTATGGTTCAAGACTGCGAGGTGGAGTTTCTCCGATTTGATTTCACAGTTTTATATAGTTCGTGGCAGCTTCACTATCACTTAGGTAATTTTCTCCTCCCCACTTTCCTGCCAGCACTTCAAAACAAACAAAAGAGCAACCCTCTCCCCAGCAAAGGATCCCAAAGCCTCGCTGGGCTTAACTCTTTCCTGAGAGCTGCTTGCTTTCCCGTTCAAGTGGAGGCAGGGATACAACGTGCTCCAGCTGGAAGGAAGGATTACAGTGGAGCCTGCTGCTAAACTTCCCTCTAAGCAAAGTAAACACAATGCGAGGAGAGCAGAGAAGTGGAGAAACCTCAGGTCCAGCCACCGCCAGCGAGCCCCGTGCACGGTCCCAGGGCTGTGCTGTGGCCAGTGCCGCGGAAAGGTGGGAAACTCTGAAAACTGACTTCAGAGTCGGAAATTTTCCCAGCAAATTAAGCAAGGAACTCAAGGATGCGAAATCAGCGCTGACCTGAAGAGAAGTGACTCCATTAGCTTCACTAAATTGACTTTGGTCAAACACAGAGCACGAATGAAATGGTTTAAAGAAGGTCTGGGGGAGAGGAAAACCCACAGGCAAAAACCTCGGCATAAAACCTGGAGCAGAAGAGGGACTCGAGACTAATAAATAACTTCCTGGAGCTCACTTCCATTAATAACGCATTATAGAAATATTAAAAATCATCAGAAATACTGACTTCAGTTTTATTACCAGGCTGAACTTTACCAAGTGGGAATGGTTGGCCCTGGCTCGCTGGTTCTCCAGTGGCTGCACCACAGGCGCATGTGGGACCAGCTCTGAACCGGCAGCACGAGGGATGCTCCGCAGCAGGCGGCAAGCAGGACTGAGTCAATGCGTCCTAACATGGCCTTAAAGAAACACGAGTATCGCCAAAAGTATTCATTTTTTTTAAAAATAAAATTTAAATTGAAATTTAAAAATAAATATGTATTTATATTTTATAATATTGTACTATTACATATAATTTATTATTTATAACATTATAATTATTATAATTAAAAATCAAAATTAAATTAAATTGAAAAATACTTTGATGTTTCCATTTCTTGATTTTTATGTCGGGGGACACCAAAGACAACAGAAAAGTCTTAGTAATAATTTTGGCTTTTGGGGATAAAAAAAAAAAAGATACGATCACTTGGGAAACTAAACTCCAGTTAAGTCTGGGCTCTTCCTTTCCTTTTACAGCTACATGATGCAGTCACTAAAGGAGTCATTGCTAACAGGAAATAAAAAATGAGGTGGCCAGGAAAATATCCATGGAGGGAAGGACAATGAAGTACCTGCTCAATGTAGTGTCTTTTTGTGGATGCTCCCATTACACTTCTACAGTCATATGGCCACAGTCAGCAGAAGGATTAAAAGGCAGAAAAAAAGTTAGAGTAGTATTATGTGCAAAGAAATCCCCAAATGGCATTTCCAGTATACACATTTATTGGTATGACAGAATTCCAGTAGCTTTTGGTTTTAGGATAGGACAGGGATTGGACGAGATGATGTTTAAAGGTCCCTTCCAACCCAACCATTCTGTGACTCTATGACAGGAAAATGTCGCTTGGAAGGAAATATCTGTAGCTAAGAAATGTGCTCTGACATCTATATAAAGATTTCTATTATGTTCACTAATCTATTACTGAATGACAGAGCTATACAGCTCTATCAAAGACCAGAATGTCCTGGTAAAATATGGCCTACAACATGGTATAAAACCTGAGTGTGGACACAGCCTGGCTGTCTCCAACAGCTCCCACCAAGCATTTTCTCTTTTTTCCTCTCTCAGACACATGCACATACACTGGGAAATGCATGACTCAGTACATGACACAGGTTTGCATGCCTTTCAGTTTAGAAAATATATTCAAAAGATGATATGAGAAAAGTAGAGTGAGACAAAGGTCCTATTTAAATAACAGATTTTTTTTTTCTATTAAAGTGAGAATTTGGGTTGAATAACACAACTAAAAATAAAAAGTTGAAATTTTGAAGTACCAGCCACTAGGAAGACAGAAGACCATCTGGTGAGGACCAGCATCCCATCACACTGAAAAGCATCAAGCAAAGCTGCTGAACTACCTCTGGCAGGGCAGGGCTCAGGACCACTCTTGGACAGCAAAGGCAAAAAAAATCTTCAAAATGCTTAGAAATTGTATTTCAGTACTCAAACCAAGTGAACTGTGGGAAAGAATAAAACGAAGCAGCTCACGCTGAGCCCCTTGTCCGCACGGGAGCTGCAGGGAGCTCTGCGCCATGAGCTGGTGCAGCCCCATGGGGGTCCCTGATGGCAGCCGGTCCCCCCGGCCCCCCGGGGGTCTCGCCCCTCCGCCCCGCCGGGTTTCCTGCCATTCTCCTCCAGCGCTGCTCCGGGCTCCTGAATGAAAGAAACCAACAGAATCATCCGGGTTTGGCTGCCGGTTTTGTTTCACCTTTCAAAAACAGACTAAAAATAGAGAGCTGGGCTAAAAATAGACAATGACCGGGTCTGCCAGACACTGAGCATGGGAAGCTCGTGGGTTTGGTTTCCAGTGGAAGTCAGGCTGCATTTAAATGACATTCCGTGTCAAAGATGTATGGTTTCATTAATACTTATGCCCACTGTGTGCACTGTCTGAGTATGTTGGACCAAGCCTTACAACTCATTTTAGGGTAGTGACTCAGCCGAGCGTGGCACAACAGGTAAATCTAACATAACCTCAAAAGAACCAAAAAAAATCCCCCAATCAGTTGCTTATTAAAATCATCCTTTAATCGAAAGCGCTGTCTTCAGAGGATTTTAGGAGAGAGACCTAGAGATGCTTCTACCCATCCACCCGCTCTGCTTTTTGAGCCTCAGCCGTTCCTGGAGCGCAGGCAGCGCCGCGCTCCCCATCGGGGGATGCGTGGCTTTTCGGTTGGGGGGGCTGGGTGTACATGTGTGTGTACACACCTCCAAGCATATTCGAAATATTCAGAATATCCAGCTGGAACCAGGGTCTTCAGTTATTTCCGTATGTTTATTCAATGAGCGGAAGATAAGACCTTTTCTCATTGATATGACTCTCCATTTAAACCTCTGTTTAAAGTGACTTGAGCACATTGCCAATGAATGCTGTAGAATTCTTTCCTCCTTTCAGACCCCTAACAGGTTTTTATAGTTCAAAATTTGAAGACCAAAGTAAGAAACATGCACTTGAATTATCTCGAAGCAGTCTGTATCAGCTGTATAAGGTTAACAACGGCTAAGCCAATTTCAACTAACCATTTACAGGATCAAGTGTCCAAATTCAAACAGCACGGTGATGAAGGCTTGTTCACATAGACTGGGAATTTGTCCAAGTATTTAAGGGTGATTTAATTTAATTGTGAATGATGCAATAGACATATGGCTAGGAAGTTATATGCCAGGAAACATGTTTTCTATAAGTATTTTAGCAGGCAGATGGCATACAATAGTTTTGGTGTAGTCATTTCCTCACCTCTTAAAAGTTGCTATTTAGGACAGATGAAATAATTAGATTCCCACCATCCTCCCAAGACACCACCACTGCTGACCCAGAGGATGTGCAACGTTAGAGGACTATTTCTGTACAAAATCCTATCAAGTAAATCAAACCTTACACTCACCTATCAATAGCCATTCAAGAGTTTCAAAGCATTTTAATAACTTGCCCACTTAAATCGAAAGTGAGTGAGTATTAATGCTTTACAGCACTCCCATGGCACAGGCGGGAACAGAGGCACGTGGAAGCGCTTGGAGCAATGCCACACCACAACTAAATCCCAAAAGCCAAAAGTTTTGCGCCTCAATCCTCAGCCTTAGCAACCAAACCCCACCACTTCCCAGACAGACCAACGCTTTCTGGAAATTACAACCGATCTCTTGCATCCACCGCACTCAGGCCTCCGAAGAACTGCTGATCCAGAGATCCAGCTTTCGGGAGCGGTACGAGCATCCCTACGCCTCTACGGGGCGGGACAGCCAGAGCAGAGCACGAAGCTGCAAATGAAACGGCATTTGAGTGAAGGTTGGGTTATTTCTCCTAGTCAAGCTTCTAAGATGCTGTTGGGACGACATCTCCTTTGTGTTAACAGGAGGCACGGGGCCAAATCCTGACCGGGGCTGAGCAAGGGGAACTCCTGTGCACTGCTAACGCAGGACACATGCTGTCTGCTCTGAGCAGACGGCTCCTGAGGAATGGACCGATCATGATTCATCTAAGAAAGGGCAAAGAGCTCAAAAGCTTCCCTAATATTGTCATCCTTGTCGCGATTTCCTTAAGAACTTGTCACCTATTTGTTTTATTGTGTTTGGTTTTGCATGTTATTACGTTTATATTGTAACTCTTGGGGCAGGAAATGCCTCCTTTATTAATGCTTCAGAAACTACATCCTGAGACTCCTATCAAGGCATCCTTTGTGTGAAGGCTGTTCTGGAGAGATTACTGCCCTGCTAATTTCTACATCAGAGCTTCTCCGAAGCCGTCTGCTTCTCCCAGTCCTGGAGGAGCCGCTCACCTCTGAAGGACCATCCCTGCGTGGGTGGTGGGCACCCTGCCCTCCATTTCAGGAGGATGCTGGATGAGACCTCTCTTGGCCCTTCACCTCAGCTTTACCCACCACTTGAAATGAAGGTTCTCCCTCTCCTCCCTTCCTTGTGATCTCAGAGGAAAACCTCGTGCTTCAGCAAGAAGTATGCAACTTGTCTGGGCTCTTAAATTTATTTCCAAACTGAGCGCACAGAGCCTTTAATAACTATCATTTATGAAAGAACGCTGCCTTTCTACACCACTATTTATCTAGGTGTTTGTATTCTTTTTCTAAGTCTTATTTA